ACTGTGTTATCAGTGTAACACTCATCCTTGGTTGGGAAGTTTTTTTTACTTCGTAAAAACATGTGAATTTAGATGTCGTTGGAAATCGCAGAGATGTCGTCTTTGCTGAGTGTGCTGATTTGGGTTGGAATTAATTTCAAGTGCCAGTCTAACCGTCGCAAATCTTTTCGGTGAAAGATCTGGTAAACGCGGTTGAAAGTGAACCAATGGCGATTAATGGATGAGGTTTTACAGGTTTGACCCAACTCTTTCTTTAAAGACGCTATCCAGCGTTTAAACATCAGTGGCATTACTGATATCAGGGAATCAAGATGATAGTAGTGCATCAATTTTACATGATTTTCTTCTTCTTGCTGCACGATATCAGCGAGGACCTGTTGGATTCTTGACTTCCAACCTTGATCATCAGCAAATTGGTAGCGGAACGTGATTTCGACGAAGTCTTTTGATTGGGGTTGATTAAGATCAGTTATAATATCGCAGAGTTTGTCGGGAATGCTTGATGTGATAGGAAGAACGACAAAATCATTCAGTGAGAACGTTGTTTCAATTAATCTTTCTGGATCGTTGCCGTTATTATTTGGTAAGAGCGTTATGGTTAACAATCTTTCGAGATTGTTATTGTCTACTCTGGATAACTCCAGAAGATTATATTGATCATCTTCACCGCTGATGACCATTATTTGCGTTCGACTAATAGAAACAGTTCCTCCGAAGTGACAGTAACCAAGTTCGAGCTGTAATTGGAGAAGAGAAGTGATGATATTTGGTGATAATGTTGGAATATTCATCATCATTGTTATTTTTTTTGTGTGTTGTGCGTTTATTCTGAAAATGCTGATATATATATATATATTTTCATGCTTCCGAATGTGTAGTTATTTGTTGAATTTTCGTGATCAGCATGATTGTGTTGAAATGATCGATTTACCATTCCAGTATATTAAACTTGTGTTGACATGTGATGAGATTACTATCATGTGATCACTAACTCCTTCTGAAGAACTTTATTTATTATTTACTATCTTATTATTATTTTTTTGTTGATTTCTTTCATGATACTTTTTTAGCTGGATTCTATTGAAGGATTTCTTCAGCAACAAATCCTGTTAACTATGCAATTTATAAGCGTTGTTGCTGCATCCTTCATGAATGTAATACCACTTGAGGCTCCATTGTGATTTAAACTTGTCACTGTACAGTGCATGTTGCTTCATGTTGTAGATTAGTACTTTTTTGCCAATTTCGAAGGATGTTGCCTTTATTCATTGATCATTGTGTTCCTTGAATTTCTTTTGGCTTTTGGTGACTCATTTTCTAGCCATTTCTATCATCGTTGGGAGTTGGTGGATTATGAAAAAAATGCAGTTTAATGTTTGTTGATCTGAATTAGCGTCAGTTTCTTTCGAAGTCAGATATTGAAGTTCAATCAGCATTTTGATTTCGCGACTGTACGTTAGAAAGAAGGGCTCGTGTTAGGTGAACATGTTCCTGTGTGTTTGATAGGCAAAGAGAGCTACTGGTATGTATACATCCCATTTGGTTTCTAACACTATACAATATTTTTGTAGGATTGTGCAGAGCATTCTGTTGAACCGTTCAACAATCCTGTTAGTTTGTGGATGGTACGGCGAAGACAACTTATGTTTGATGTCAAATTTCATGATAAGTTCGTTGGTTATTGTTGCTGTGAACTCTGATCCTTGATTTGATTGCAGTTCTCTAGGACATCCGTGACAGCAGATTATCTCTTTGAAGATAAATGTAGCCACAGTCGATGCTTCTTTGTTCAGGATTGCCTTCACTTCGGGCCATTTAATTAAGTAATTGATGGCCATGACGATATAACAGTTTTCTTTATTTGTTAGTTTGCAGGACCCAACAAGATCGATTACGATGTGATCGAATGGTTGACCAAGCTTGATAGGATGTAGTGGTTGTTTGGTTATTTGTCTGCCGGTTAGTTGACATGTTCTGCAGGATTTTACGAAATCCTTTATGTTGTTCCCCATATTATTTTACCAATATCTTGCGGTGATTCTCTGATAAGTTCCCTCGAATCTGAAATGTTCAGAAAGTGTATCGCCATGTAAATTATTTATGATTGTTTCAGTTTTAGTCATTTTGAGTACGCTGAGTGGATTATTGGGCTCTTTCCTCCAGTTGATCTTGTAGAGCAGGTCGTCTTGAATTGTGTAATATTTCGATTGGTTTTGGATCCGTTTGCGTTGTTCTTCATTATACTCTTTGAGGTAATTTTCATTCTTAAGGTGTCTTATTAGATTGGTGTACATCGTTAGATTCATCCTGGTCGAGTTTGCTGAGGTTTGGATGTCTTCGATTAAATTTGTCAAGGGTTAAATGTTCTCTTTTTCTGGTATATCATTATTATTACTTTTGTCATTTATTACTATCGATATATATTAAAAAATATATATATATTTTATTTTATTTATTTATTTTTGTTTGAGTGTTATTAGGTGGTTCTATTAGTTTTCGTATTTTAATATTATTGTCCTATTCGCGAGAGTGTGTCTGCATTCTGGTTCATTTTTCCGGAGCAGTAGATAATCAGGAAGGTGTATTTCATTATCATCATAACTCATCGAGAAACGCAGAGTTCAGGGTTGGTTTGTTTGATGAAAAGCCAGCGAAGAGCATTGTGATCCATGACAATTTCGAAGAGCATTCCAAGAAGGTAATGTTGGAATTGTCGAATAGTCCATACTACGGCAAGAGCTTCCTTTTTGGTGACGCTATATCTCTTTTCAGCAGGTTTCAGGGAGACACTCACGTAGGCAATAACTCATTCTCGACTTTGTTCATCCTTTTAAGAGAGAACTGCTTCCAATCCAGCATCAGAAATGTCTGTATACAGGTAAAATTTTCTCGTGAAGTTCAGGTAGATGAGAATCGGAGCTGTAACTAATTTTTTTTTAACAGGTTGAACGCGTTTTCTTGATCTACATCCAAATATAATGGACATTATTCCTAAAAAGTTGGAAGAGGAGAGCAGTGATTTGTGAGAATCCCTTGATGAACTTTCAATAGTAACCGACGAGACCAAGGAAGGAGCGAAGCATTTTAATAGTCATTGGCTGAGGGAAGCTTTTAACCTTTTCCATGATAGTTGGATCTGGTGAGATTCCATCCTGACTGATAATGTGTCCAAGGAAAGGTAAGCTATTTCAAGTAAATTTGCATTTTTCGAAGTTTAGCTTTAATTTCACATCTTGAATTCGCTGGAACATCAATACCAGATGCCGTAAGTGTTCGTTGAAGATCTGGGAATACACATTGATGTCATCAATATATATCATCACGAATTTCTAGTTGTAATCACCAAGCATAACATCCATTGCTCTTTAAAACGTGACAAGCGCATTACACAAGCCAAAGGGCATCACTTTGAATTTGAAGAGGCCTTTTCTTGAGATGAATGCGGTCTTTTCGACACTCTATGATTCCATTTCAATTTGCCAGTATCCAGAAGTTAGATCCATAGATGAGAACCATTTTGATTCACCAAGACTATTCATCATCTCATCAATTCTGAATAACGGATAAGTGTCCTTTTTGATTATCAAGTTAAATCATCGATAGTCTATATATAGCTGTTTCTTCCCATTTTTCTTAGCGACCACTACGATTGGTGAAGACCAAGGGCTACTGGACCGTTGGATGATTCCTGCTTCGAGCATGTGCTGAATTTGGTCATGAATGAAACTTTGATCTGGAAAAGTTGCTCGATAAGCATGTTGTCGAATAGGTTTGTTGGTCTCAGTTTCTATTCAATGTTGAATCATTTTTGCGTGCCCTAGTACATTAATGTCATTCGCAAAAATATTCTTGTAAATTTCTAATAGTTTTTCTAATTGTCCGGTCTGATTCAAAGTTAATTTTCATTGTTCGATGGAATTTTTATCTTTATTTTCATTTAGGAGGTATGCCTTCATTTCATTTTTCCTGGTCGAACCAAAGTCATGATCACCTCGATAGGTCTTTTCTAGTTCTTCACGGGTGTTCACTAATCAGATTCCAGAGATCTTGGCAAGTTACAAGAAGACGACCTGAGCGACATGTTCGTTCAGCTCAATCTGGTAAGATTTTTCAGAATTATTGTATATTAGTACTCCAACATTTCCTGTATAACCAGCATCGATCATTTCTCCTTTGACTTCTATTCCTTTTTTAGCAAGAGAGGATCAGAACATTAATTGGCACACGGTTTTCACAGGAATCTCGAAGACGATATGGAGATTGATCAATACCGTCTGCTGTGGTGTGACTTGAATGGGTATTTCTTCGGGATATCGAACGTCAAAGCCAGCATCTGTTGGATGAGCTCACTCAGGTAATTTCCCTTTCTCTTTGTCATTGTACACTTTAATCATTAAATTCATATTATTTATTTCTTTAATTAGTCCAGTTTCAGTTTTGGTTGGTTGATCAGACTGTACGCAGTCTGTATAGGACTCTGCTCAGTCCACCAATCACTCACACCCCTTGCAGAACACCACATGTTTCTCGAGCTGGAAGTAGACAAGTGCACTTTCTTTTGTTTCGAATTTTTCTTCTGCAGGTTTGATCTTGCCAGGGATTTTTCGTTATTCAACTATGGTCCTTTCATTATTCCTTACAGATATGTCAGGCAGAATATAGAAAAGATTATTCAGCAGATTGAGTTGGACATTTATTCAGAGAGTGAGCTCCTCGTAGCAGTGACAGCACTCGTCATCAAAGTTTTCCAGTCGTCATCAGCACCAACATTCAGCGGCAGGTCACTTCCAATTAAAATTCCAACGCAAGCAAGGTCAGGCTTGGTAAAACTTATCCTGCATTCGGGTGTATTCTCTCCAGGTAACTAGTTTGTTTCGCATTTCGATTCCTTGCTTACTGATATTTACATTTTCAATCTTGTAGATTTCGTTAATTATATGGCAAGAGATTCCTTCGAATTTGATTTCCATTTTCTCCTTGATTTTTGATCTGTCAAAGTTTCAATATAGGAAGTTTCGATTTTCTAGTTGTTGTTCCTCAACTTCATAATCACTATCAGAGGATTCATGAGTGGAGGAGTTGGATGTTTCAGTTTCAGTTCTGGTTCCAGGTGCGTTCGAATTCCTTTGTCCATGGATGAATTTGATATCGATTCTTCCTTTTTGATATTGTTTTTTTGTATGAAATCGTGGCTGACAACGCATCCAGAGACATCCATGTCTATGATAAGATCTATAAATATCATTCTAACCTTTGCTTCGCACCAAGCTGATGTCATTCTGATCTTGATCTGGGTCATTATTCCTGCAGGTCGTTGAATTTCTTTGTATTTCAGTAGTCGACGCATTCTCTTGGACATTTTCATTCTCTGTTCTGGCGAGGTTTCAATCAGTTGGATGATCGTAATATTTGCTTTAGCATTTGTTAAGTCGTCAAGAATATCATATAGACGGCTCGAGAAGCCAATACTGGTAGCTCAACTTTTTCTTTTCTTTTTTTCTTTTTGTCTATCAATGCAATTTCTTCGGTTTTCTTGGGTGGCTTAGATTCGACAGGTCAGAAGATATCGTCTACAGTATTTTCTGACTGATTCTTTTGAGCCCGTTTGCATCCTTCAAGGTATTTGTGCGTTGCAAGGAGAGTCGAACTGGATTGGTCAGCAGACGATATAGTTGTTGTGGTCGATATTGCTTGTAGAGCAACAATAATTGATTGCATTTGTGTCAGGAGAGCGGTATTACTGTTCGTAGTCGTGGCATTATTGCTTGTGGTCTGTGTAGGGGTGAGATTTACAGTCACATTGGAATTGTCATTTTGAATGGTATTCCAATTTGTCTGCGAAGGCTGGCTCTGTCGAAAGTTTGATCCTTAACTATTCATACCAAACGGGTTTGAGCAGTATCATTGGATGTGTCCAGTTTGTCCACAGCGGTAACATTTTAAGGGTCCCTGGGGTCTTGGCTGACTCTGAGCTGGATCATTGCTTCTTGATGGATAATATCACTTCCTGTCATTTTCCATGCGGTTGAGTCAGTCACTAAGATCCTGGAGCATTTGGGTAATAGTGATTAGATTTACAGCCGTAGTTACTTGCGTTTGGTGATAGGGCTGTTTTGGTGATTCTGAGTCTGTTTCTTCCACTGTCCTGGCCACTTCAATTATGTTGTCCAGTGTTTCATCAGAGTTTATAGTAATCCACTTCCTAATTTCTGGCTTAAGTCCTCTTTTGTAGGTCCTTGTCTTGTAATCAGCCAGGTAATTGCTGTCGGAATCAATCTTTTTTAATAATTGGACGAACTGATTGGTGTATTCTTCAATGGTTCTTCTTGCTTCAGAGTTTCGAGTTCGTCTTGTCACTGTTCTACCTTTCAATGGATCTGAAATTTTAATGTGAATTGTTGTTTAAAATCGTATTCGTCCTGCTATTGATTTGTCCAGTCGTTTAATTGGAAATTGTCATTGATATGTCTTTGGTCGAACCAAGCGGCTGCAGTTTCTTCGAGATAGTCCCGTATGATTTGAATTTTTCGTTCGTTGGTGATTCCGTTGGCTCGAGCAGCGATTTCAAAATCTCGGAGCCATTCGACTGGATCTTGGTTTTCACCTCAGAATTTTCATATTGATATAAGAATTTTTTCAGGTCTTTGGACGAGATCAGCATTCATGGCATCACTAAGGTAAGTTAAAGCTTCTATTAAATTATTTATTTCAGCCATTTCGTTGGTCTTTCTATATAATGGAGTTTCCCTATAGTTTTCGTTGATTCCTTCATTTGATGTCTCGGAGTCTGTGGTGTTTTCGTCGAGGAATTCTCGTAGGATTATTCGTTCTTCGTTAGCTTGTTCCATTATTGGTCTCCAAGTTCTTACAATTTACGGTTGTTGAGTTGATATCCACAGAGGGGTGGCACCAAAATGTTACCGGTTAGTGACCGATTATAGGAATTAGCTGCTAATCTGTAACTTGGGTGGAAGAAACAAATTAAACTAAAGTTATTTTATTTATTAGTTTTCCAAGATTCTGTGCCAATATCTTCAGATATTGTTATGTTCAAC